CTGCCAGGAACACAGCTGCGGCTGTCCAAAAGCTCACCGAAGCCCTAGTACAACAGCCAGGAACAACAAACCAGTGCCTTACGGAACTCCTCGCTGCCCTGACTAATAAACCGACGCCCACTGACGCCGAGGGCGACATAAAAATGACGGACACTAACCTGCCTGGAGGGATCCCAACGAATCCCCCTACAACAACCGGAAGGCCTATCGAAGAGGTTATTCAGTCCATCAACACCCTCGCCGTAACCAGCCTCCTTCTGGCGCCCCAACTCGCCAAGTTCAAAGGCGACAAAACAGGTATATGTCTAGAAGACTGGATAGTTCAAGCCCAGGATCTTGCTGAACATACCTGCCTTCGTGCATCCGGGACAATCTCCCACAAGGACCTCGTACTTGCTATTGCAGCCAAATTGGAGGGTCTCCCAGCACAGGACTGGGCTAACTACCGAACCCAGCTTACGACGGACACGACTAAGGATGGCAGAACGTGGGACGATTTCACCCTCGACTCATTCTTTGACTTCTTGAAGGCACATTGGATCTTCTTCGGAGAAAAAGAAAGACGCCGTCATCGATACGACACCTGTCGTCAAGGCAACCGTTTTTTCCAAGAATATTACGTCGAACTCGAACGGCTGTATAATCAGCTCGATGTGAAACCCAATGATCACGAGTTCTACCAGCGTTGTAAAGCAGGAACCGCTGCTTGTATCACTCGTGCCATGTACGCACAGGGGATCCAACACAAAGACACCAACACATTTGGTCTTCATGCTACGAGACTGGACGAGATGCAACGGACAGGGGAGGCACGAGACCATACAAACCGGGGTTCGACGTCTGTGCCAGGAAAGTGGAAGGGAAAGACGCCTGCCAGACAATACGAAGGCAGCCGGTTCACTAAGAAGGAGTATGTGAACGCCCTTACGGATCGTAAAAACCCGCGCACCAGTCACGTGCGCAAAGGAGGAAAGAATGACGGCCCTACTTGTTACGGGTGTGGGTTCAAAGGCCACTACAAACGGGATTGTCCCCTGCCGGACACACCTGCGACAGGGTCCAACACCGTCGTACCCCTCCAGGGAAAAGTGCGGCGCCAGGAGTGAACGACCTGGCGCATGAAGATGAGCAAGTTGACGATCATGTCAACATTGCCGCGGAGTCCTCATCGGACTCGCCTACGACCAATGATAAGGTCCTCGTTCCTGTAGGCATATGCGGCACTCATATACAAGCAATGTGCGACACCGGTGCATCAAAAGCGTATATGAGTGAAAATCTAGTGAAGAAGCTTCACTTACAAGTAGACTCGAGGACCACTTCGATGATTCAAGTTGCTGATGGAAGGAACGTTCGTACTCTAGGAAGAGTATCACTGCAGTGTCAGATCATGGGATCTGAGGT